CTGCACTCCAGTCTGGGCGACAGAGTGAGACTCCAACTCAAAACAAAAAAAAAAGAATTTGCTTTATTTTAAAATGATAAGGTTTTTATTATGGCAATTACCATAGGACCTCCCCACCATTCCTATTACTATTATCACATGATCAGCTTATAATAACCCTTAGCATATATAAGCATACATCATAGGTGCTGAATATAGAAAACAATTCTCTCTTGGGGTTCCAGTCAGTTTTAAACAGATTAAGCATCATCTCTTATCAATAAATACATCTTATATTTAACCTCTCCCGGGCTGTGTAGACAAGAAAGTGGGGGGATATTACGTCTTTTTTTCATGCACATGGGTGAACGTGTGTGTGTGTGTGTGTGTGTGTGTATGTGTGTGAAGCTGTTATCATGGGAAAAGAAGAGTGTCCTGGGAATGTAGAAAAAAAGAATGTGACACAGGTAAAACAATTTAGATGGACCTCTGTGTCCTACCCCATAAAAACCCAAGAGGTAGCCAGCACTTTGGGAGGCTGAGGCGAGAGGATTGCCTGAGCCCATGGGTTCGAGACCAGCCTGGGCAATACGGTAAGACCTCATCTCCACAATAAGTTCTTTTAAAAATTAGCTGGGTGTGGTGGTGCACGCCTGTGGTTTCAGCTATTTGGAAGGACGAGGCAGAAGGATCACCTGAGCCCAGCAAGTCGAGGCTTCTGTGGCCGTGAGTGTGCCACTGCACTCTAGCCTGGGTGACAGAATGAGACTTCTACTAAAACAAACCAACAAACCCAAGAGGTCTACGTTGTTTCTGTCTCCCTTCACCAGACAGAATGGAACGACTGCCAGGATTCCCACCTGTTCATTAACTGTCCTCGCCTGTCCCTTTCCTTCCTGGGAACCTGTGGACGGCATGTTGTTCTTCTCATAGGTTCTCTTCTGGGCAGGAAGGCCTTTGCCAAGGCTGCATCTCAGGCTGGCAGGTTGACAGCTGCTCCGGACAGCTGTGCCTTCTGAGGCAGAAAGAACCCTGGCTGCAACCCCAGCCGAGCAAACCCGCGACCAACGGGTTAAAAATAATCCTGACAAAGTTGTCTTCTTGCCGTCACTAATGAGCTCTGCAGCTGCCATCTACCTTAATGATAGTTATATGTTTCCCTTTTCTCCTCTCGAGTTTCGGCTTTTCTCCTTTTTATTTGAATTTCTCTGAATTTCGACTGCCGATTTTTTACCTTTGCTTTGCGTTTTATCACGCACAAGTACTTCCACCGGGCCCTTCACCAGGTCTTACACAAGTTAGTTTTCAAAATCTCACTGTAAACTGAGGAGACATTTGACATTGCTGGCCCTCAAGAAAATTTTCTGCAGGACATTTAGCCTACCATTAAAAATCTTTACTCGCAGCAGTAAATTCTTTGTAAAAGAATTAGATTGAGGTAAATGTATGAATTAGGTATGATTTTCACACATTTGTATAAACATAAACGTACAAATAGAATAAATTTGATGATTGTTACATTGCAAACTGCATATGGAAACATTGAGAGAATCTTGCTAAATCCACATTTAAGAAGTAAATTAAGGCATGTCTGAACACATGCAAAGATGGTTAAGTACTAAAATTGCCATTAACTGATTAACAATAGGGTCTGTAACACTAAATAACTTGCTTGAATGAATTTTTCTCCTTATAATAGACCCAATCATAGTGGCTTTCAAGCAATTGATTTTGAATGTCTGTCATCTTTTTTTTCTCACCTACCCCCATCATGTTTAAAAGCACAACATAAAAAAAAACCAAACTATAGCTCAACTATTTTAGTAAAGTGTCCCTAGGAAAATTCATCTTAAAAGGCTTTTATTATTGACTATTTACAAAATTATTATGGAAATGACCACTACTGTTTTTAGTATAGTATTGGCAATTGCCTTTCACGATTTGAGTCTCTAAAGATTTGCTGTGTTAATATCATTACCATAAACTTGTTCTATGTGTGGTACAAATGTCAGAACGAGTCACTACATCTTGCATAACAGTTTTTTTGCAACATGAGGAAGAGAGAAATCTCACAAAGTATGGAGTAGAAAGAATTAGGCTGACAGCATGAAAGATCTGAACAGAAGAAAGTCAGGCAGATCCAGAAAAATAAAAGTACATATTGACCTGGTGATGAGATAGTAAGGCAAGGAGATAGCTCCCAAGCCCATGTCTCAGATTTGCTCTGAGAAGAAAGTCTATACAGTCACCCGCGAGGAGGCTGCCTCTTTACCTGTCCATGGTGGTTTCCAGAGTGTCTTTCTTGGCTCCCTGAGAGTCTCAGGCTGAGGGAATCTTGCCTCACCAGTTTCACTGCCTCTGTCTGACAGTGCACTGGTCCCTCACATTCAAATTTGAACTTGTCCTTTTGGGCTCCTCCCCCTCCAGCATCACCCCCACCAGGTACCCCAACGGCCTGGCTCCTGATTTGGGTCCACTGAAGATGGGTGGAGCTGTCATAGGCAGAGTCACATGGGTTAAATGATTGAGGGCAGCTCTGTTTCGTGGTGGAGGTTCCTTGAGGACTGCAGCCCTAAAAATCCAGTCCATGCTCCATGGGTAGCGGAGATCAGAAGGCGGCAGCAGTCGAGACAGCCTAAATTGTATTCATGATAGCACATAGCAACTTTAACTTTAAAAGCATCATGATAACAGTAACATTGACTTAAATAGCTTTAAATATCACCTTGCGTTCTTTGAGCTGAAAGCCTCTATTCACTCATTTAATACACGTTAATACATTTAATACAGTATCTCTGGGCCGCAAGAGAGACAGGCCGGCCTGTAATCCTAGCACTTTGGGAGGCCGAGGCGAGAGAATTGCCTGAGCCCACGGGTTCGAGATCTACCCAGGCAACTTGGCTGAGACCTCGTCTGCACAATAAATCAAAAGTTAGCCGGGCATGGAAGCGCACGCCTGTAGTTTCAGCTACTTGGAAGGCTGAGGTGGAAGGACTGCTGGAGCCAAGCAGGTCGAGGCTGCGGTGACAGGGTGACACTGCCCCCCAGCCCGGGTGACAGAGTGAGACTCCAAATTTAAACAAGAAAGAAAAGAGAGACAGGCACAGCCCTTGTTTTGTGGCTAGGCAAGTGATCTCAGGATTTAGGACACAGAAATCATACATCCCAAATCACTCATTTTTTCCCCCTTCTGATTGCATTGCAAGAATTGCAAGCAGACTAGGTGTTTACACCAAATGGAAATGTTTTTCGTGAGTCATCTTTCTTTATTATTTATTTATTTACTTATTTTTTGAGTTGGAGTCTCACTCCGTCACCCAGGCTGGAGCGCAGTGGCATGCTCAAGGCCACCCTGGTGTCAGCCTGCTGGGTTCCAGTGATCCTCCCACCTCAGCCTTCCAAAAGTAGCTGGAACTACAAGTGCATGCCATCACGCCTGGTTAATTTTTTGGATATATTTTAGAGATAAGATCTTGCCAAGTTGCCTGAACTGGTCTCGAACCCGTGGGCTCAGTCAATCCACTCGCCTCAGCCTCCCAAAGTGCTGGGATTACAGACTGAGCCACTGAGCCCGGACTATTTTTTTTTTTTTAAGTATTTAATTTGGTGTCAGGAACAGCAGCACTCTCCACCAAAAAAAAAAAAAAAAATACAAAAATGCTTATTTCACCAGAAAAAATGCTTATTTAGAATTAGCATCTAAATGGCTGCTTTGAGCCAGGCACGGTGACTCACACCTGTGATTCCCCAGCACTTTGGGAGGCCGAAGTGGGAGGATCGTTTGAGTCCAGGAGATCGAGGCCAGCCCAGGCAATATAGCAAAGCCCTTGTCTCTACAAAAAAAAAAAATTGGGCAGGGTGGTGGCGTGTGCCTGTAAGTCCCAAGCTACTTGGGAGGCTGAGGTGGAAAAATTGCCTGAGCCTAGGAAGTCAAAGCTGCATGATTGTGCCACTGCACTCCAACCTGGGTGACAGAGTGAGATTCCAATTCAGAAATAAAGTAAAATAAAACTGCTTTGAACTTGAAAAATAGGCTAGATTTTTCAAATAAGACACTTTCAGTGTGTGCCCTCATACAGCTTGGTCTATTAAAAATCTTTATTTCTCCCTCCTAACACAGTCTATATGCATTCTATGTATTCATTCAGCAGACACTTAGCCCCTACTCTGTGGTAGAAACTGTCCCCAGGGCTGGAGATGCAACGGCGAGCAAAGCTGGTAGGGTCCCTGCTCTTTTCCAGCTTCCAGGCTTTGATACCATTCGTGCCTTAATGATTCCCAAATCGAAGTGCGAGCTTGGACCGCTCCCTTGAGCTCAAGACTGATGTGTCCAGCTTCCCTCTCACATCTCCATTTGGGTGTCTGAGCATTCCACACGTGTCGCAGACGAAGCCCTGCTCAACCTGCGCCTCTGACCATCATCGCCCTCACGGTAGATGGCATATCATTCTTCCAGTGGCTCGGGGCAAAAACCTGGGTGGGAGTCTCTCTTGGTTCCTCGATTTCTTTTGAGATGCATGCACAATCCACTAGCAAATCCCACGAACTTTGCTTTCAGGCTATCTCCAAGAACCGACGACGTCTCACCACCGCCAGATCTGAGCAACCTGGATTATTGCGTGCTGACTCCCGACGGGCCTTCCTGACCCGCTTTTTCATTACGGCCTGTTTTCCACACAGCAGCCCGAGTCATCCTGCTGGAATATTTTAGATCGTGTGAGTCCCATGTCAAAAACCTCCACGCTTCCCATTCCTTCAGAGTAAGCCATCATCTTACGACGGCTCACAAGCCCCTCCTTTGTTTTTTTTTTTAAAGATACGGGGTACAGTTCAGGGTTAGGTACACAAATGTTGATTATGCGGGCACCCTTGTTGATGAGGTGTGCCCCTCCCTCCCCGAGCAGTTTCCCTCAACTGCCAATCCCATCCCTCTCCCCTGGCAGTTTCAAACTACTGCCAGGTCCTTTCTTATAGTATTATGATCATTGTTCAAGGCCTGTTTATGAATGAGAGCATATGGTACTCTGCTCTTTGTTTCTGTGATAGCTCACTGAATATTACTCTTTGTTCTTGCTGGGCCTTTGCTGGAGTGCTTTTCTTTGTGTATCGTTATGGTTTAGGCCCTCATTTATTTTGTCTTTGCTCAAGTACTGCCCAGTGACTGAGGCTTTCCCTAAATCACCATATATACAATGAGCTGGGTGTGATGGCCTGTGAACCCAGCACTTTGGGAGGCCAAGGCAGGAGGATTGCTTGAGCTCCAGAGTTTGAGACCAGCCTGGGAAAAATAGCAAGACCTGGTCTCTACAAAAAATCAAGATATTTAGGTGGGCATGGTAGTCCATGCCTGTCGTCCCAGCTACTTGGGAGGCTGAGGCAGAAGGATCGCCTGAGCCCAGGAAGACAAGGCTGTGGTGAGCCGTGATCATGCCACTGCACTCCAGCCTGGGTGACAGAGTGAGACCTCAACTCAAAATAAAATGTAATAGATAAAATTTCAATGAAATTTCACCATCCTAACACTTCCTTGTCCTCACCCTTAATTTATTGTTCTTTCACACGCATCAGTTAAAATACACTCTCTATTTTACTAATCTGTCTAAATTATTATTTCTGAGAAAGTACTGGATTATAGACATGAGTCACCATGCCCGGACTATTTTTTGTTTGTTTGTTTGTTTTTGAGTTGGAGTCTCGCTGTCGCCCAGGCTGGAGTGCTGTGGCACATTCCACTGTGGATTATAAGTGTGAACCACCATGCCCGGGGCAAGGATCTCGTTTTTTAAGGCTGAGTAATATTTTGTTATATAAATAAGTATATGCATATATATGCATATACACACACACATATATGTATATACACCATATTTTCTTTATTCATAGTGGAGACAGTTGTTTCCATATCTTGTCTATTGTGAATAATGCTGCAGTGAACATGGGTGTGCAGATATCTCTTCAGGTACTGATTTCACTTTATTTTCCTTTTTTGAGTTGGAGTCTCACTCTGTAACCCAGACTGGCGTATACTGATACGATCACGGCTCACTGAAGCCTTGTCCTCCTAGACTCAGACTATTCTTCCTCAGCCTCTGAGTAGCTGGGACTACAGGTGTACATCACCACACTCAGCTCTTTTTTTTTTGAAAGCAGGATTTATTGAGAGGACAGAGGAGCTCCCACAGTGGGAGGGGACCGAAGGAATTGCCCCAGCTTTTTTTTTTTTTTTTCTATTTTTTTATAGAGACAAGATCTTGCTATGTTGCCCAAGCTGGTCTGGAACTCCTGGGCTCAGGCAATACTCCTGTCTCAGTATCCTGAGTACTTGGGACTACAGGCGCATACCACCATACCAGGCTAACTTTTAAATTTTTTGTATAGACAAGGTCTTGCCACGTTGCCTAGGCTGGTCTCCAACTCCTAGGCTCACACAATCCTCCCGATTTAGCCTCACAAAGTCCTGGGATTATAGGCGTGAGCCACTACGCCCGGCCTCTGATTTCATTTTCTCTGGGTATACACCCAGAAGAGGGATTGCTGTCTATGGTAGCTTTATTTTTAAATTTATGAGGATCATATGGTAGTTCTGTTTTTAGTATTTTGAGTAACCTTCATATTGTTTTCCATAATGGCTGTATTCATTTACATTCCCACCAACAATGTGCAAAGGCTCCTTTTTCTCCGCCTTTTTGCCAACACCTGTTTCATCTTTCTGCTAATAGCCATCCTACCAGATGTGAGATTCTGAGATAGAAAAAAACTAAAATGTGACATGTCAAACCAAACATGTATAATAGGAAAAGCCAACTATGTTTCCTTCTACATTCACACACCACTGAGTACAACACTTCTGACACCAGATGTGTGTGGCAGGGGAGGGGGGTTTCCCCACACACCAAGCCATTCCCCAGTGGACACCAACTGGGTGTTCGATTGTTTAACTCAGTTGTGACACAGTCTGCCTGGAGACAGCATCAGATCCCACAGACTGAGGACTCAGTTCCCCAAGACTGTTCCCTGCTTCAGATGCCAATCTTAAGTCTCTTGTAGTGAACTTAAGATTTGTACTTCTGACAAACCAACCTGGGGGTTCCCACAACCCCTTCCTTGGGTTCCATTCGTTGGCCAAGATGGCTTACAGCACTCAGGGAAACATGACTTAATTTGTACCCACTTATTATATTAATACAGGATATCATAAAGGGTGCAGACGAAAACATGCATAGGGCAAAAGCTGGAAAGGTCTCAAGCACAGAAGCTTCCGTCCCATGGAGTTGGGATGTGCCATTCTCCCACTGCACAGACGTGCTCGACAACCTGG